CCCCGGCAGACGCGCAGGTCGCGCTGCAAAAGGCGGCTCGGGAGGAGAGCAGAGCAGACCTTCCGCGGAACTGCGCAGCCGGCCGCTTCTGCCTCTGGCGCTGCTCGCTTTGGGTTGCCACAGGTGGACGGTCCGGAGGCTCCGGCGAGGAGGGAAGTCGGCGAGGCGAGGGCCCGGCGCGCCGCTGCGCCCGCCCCCTCCCCGAACTGGCCTCGTCCTCTGGGAAACCCGGCCGAGCTGACGCGACGGCCGCGCTGCCCGTGGCCGCAAATGCCGAACAGTTACAGGCTTATTCCCGAATCGGTTAATTTCTGCCTTTGCACCGCAGACCCAATGGCCCACCAACGGAGCTGGGGTTGTGCGGCGTGCACAAAAAACTAACCAAGATTAACAATAACCAAACATGGTTGTGCGAATGCAGCCGCTGGTGCTTTCACTGACCCGGTGAAGTGTGCAGTGTGAACACAGCCCGTTGGTCGGGTCCCAGCCCAGCAGCTCTAAGGCTTGACGCCCCACTTCCCCGTTGTCCTGCCGGCTGCCCTGGAAGGGTCCCTTCCATCCTTGGAGTCAGCTCCCCTCAAACTGACACACGGTGGCCCTTCTTCCTTGCCCGTTGCCCTGCAGGGGCACCAGGGTCTCAGTGGCAATGAAGGGATAAGGGCCTTTCCCTTCACGGTGCTGGGCCCTTAGGATCTGCAACTGTGTTGGCTGAAGACCGTGATCCTCAAAGCTGCCATCAGCAACTCAGTTGGGCAAACCCAGCCAGACTATGAGAGGAGGGACGGCTGAGCGCTTGGCACAAACTCAGAATGTTGGGTTGATTGACCCTGAAAGAGTTCACCCAACCCAGAGCTACAGAAAGGTGCAGGGGGCATGTCAGCACCCCTTTTGCAGCCCCCTGGCAGGTAAAGCAAAGAAGATGGGCCCTTTTTTCCTTTGTGTTTAGTGGCACTGGGGAGGGCGGGGGGGGGTTAAAGGCCAGAGTGGGTGGCTTAAACCTGCAGTTCAAACCTCTCCCTAAAACAGCAGAAGTGTGTGGGGAGGGGGATCCCAAGCCCCTGTAACTGATAGCAATGTTGCCTTCCCAAAGAGGGAAGTTCCACAGAGAAAAAACGATGGACAGCCATTTAAAAACTCCCACCAGAAGGGCCGGACCATGAAAGACCAGTAACATCTGTTTAAAAGTGGTTTTCCAATCATTTTTTAAAGTATTTTTGTTCTGTTATGTGCACACCTAAGCACAATGCAAGCAGGGAACCATAAAAATCACACTGTACTCTAATCAAATATTCCCTCCAGTTTTATTCCAGTTATATTGGAATCATTCACTGATGCTTTTTATTTTTACCTTTCAGCATAAATTAGGGTTTTCCACAAATTTGGCTGTTTGCTCACCCATAAGTTAAAAAGTACCATCCCCAACATATATCTTACAAGGAATCTGCGCTATTCCTGTGGTGTAAGAGCTCTCTATTCCTGTTTTTAAATAAAATTTGCTATACTTTTGTGATTGGCTTCAAAGGTCACCAAATCTGCATAACTTTGTACATTTGACACCCCAACAAGCAGTCAAGAAATATGCCACAGACTGGCACTTGAAGTCCTTGGAGAGGACATTCAAATGCCATGATGGGTCTATACAAAGATCAGAATGGTGCAGGCCGTGGTTTTCTTGGTGGCACTCCGTGGAAGAGAAAGTTGGACTCTGAAGAAGCAGGAGAGGAAGAGCATTGCCACCTTTGGACTTTGGGGTTGGAGAAGACTCCTGAGAAATCCGTGGATGGGCAAGAAAGCAAACCGATGGATCACTGAACAAATCAACCCAGAGTTCTCACTTGAGGCTCAGATGATCCTACTTCGGACGCCTTATGTGAAGACCCAGTTCCCTGGAGAAGGCGCTGATGCTGGGAAAGGTGGAAGGGAGGAAAGAGAAGGAGAGGACAACCAGCAGCAAGGGGGATGGGTTCAGTTACAGTGGCGATGAGGGCACTGTTGAGAGACTTGAAAGAACAGGCTGGGGACAGATGGTCCTGGAGAAGGCCTATCTCTGTGGTCACTAAGAGTTGACAATGACGTGATGGCATGTAATCACCATAATCATCTCGTAAGTTCAAAGCAGTTTATATCCTTTTTTTTCATGAGAATATACAGATAAAACAGGGACGCTGGACGGCCAATACAAGGAAACTATAATTAGGAAAAAAGGCATTTTTAGGAGACCATCTTTGAAGCATTTCCAACAGTTTGCTTCAATAAAATTGTGCTAATTTAAGATGGATGGTTGGTGAAATGCTTGCTCTGGAGAGACGTGCCTGGTACGCATCACACTTGCTGCCAGTTCATTTCGCCAAGGATTTGGGCCTGAACTGCTTCCCTCTGTCCGCAAATGGTTTTTCTGCTGTTTTTCCTTCCCGGCCTGACTTTTAGGCTGATCTCCCAGGCAATGAGAGGTTAATGTGCTTCTTGTAATTGCTCTAATTTGCCCTTAGAGAACTTCAATTTCATTTTTGACAGCTCCTTTGGGCATTTGTTAAGGGGTAGCGATCAGAGTCTGAACAAGCAAGAAATGGAGGCAACTTTATAAATGTCCTGGGGCAGTTTGCTGACATTCCTCTCTCACGTGCTATGGCTGTGTCCTGCTCACATTTCTTTCCCATCATAACATATCTCAGAGCAAAAAATAAAGAAGGGTTTACAATGGACCACAAAGAGGGCACAGGATGTTTATGATAGAGCAGATACATGATATGGTATAATTGTTTCTGCTCCCGGTGAGGACAGAGCTGCTGAGAGGGTTGCTGATAAGCCGAAGAGAGGCTGGTTAGGGAGACGAATGTCCTTTGTGTTTTCAGAGCTGGGGAAGCAGCCATTTCGTTTGTCCTGCAATGCTGGTGTAACCTGACACCGACAGCATCTCACACTCAGGGAGACGTTCAACCCACAATCTCCATCTTGAGACTGACCGTGAATGAACCGCAGAACTCCACTCTGAAACGTCTGGCCAAATTTAAAGGGGGGGGGGAGTGGCTTCTTTCCCATCCCCAGTTATTTGTAGCCTCCTGCCTGATGAAGTGCTCGGAGCCTGGCACGGTCTTGCCTGCCCTTCAGTTAAATCTATTTGTCTCCGTAAAGCTATTGCTCTCCTATAGATTTGGGGACTTCCCCCCCAGAGGGCAGAGACTGTGAACGCGTTTGGACGATTCTGCATCTACAGGGTGTTTTGTCCTCACCGAATGACGTGGGCTTCAGACTGGCCACCTCCCCGTGCACATTCTGTCCACCTTTCCAGCAGCACAGGGGATCCAGTTCTGTGGAGGAGGGAGAAGGAGGGACTTCGGAAGCCCTCCCGGCGCGGATCTGCCAGGCGAAGGAGGGTTGGCTCGGTTTAGTGCTGGGTGGCAGATCCTGAGGAGACACCAGGCTCCAAGCAGGACAGAGGAGTCAATCAAACATCCCAGAAGACAAAGGAACTTCTGTACTGCAGCCAAGAAAACCGCCTGCCTGCCTCCAGGTAAAACAACCTTGAAGGACTTTCCCTTGGAACGAAAAACAAGGAAGTTGCAAGCGTATGCCACTTACATCTGCTGTAAGTTATCAGTGGCTATTGTTTTAGACGCTGCAGCACACCGGCTCCAGTAAGTATAATCTTTCTTCTGTTCTTGAATTTTCTTTTTTCCTTTGTAGCAGGTGCACAGCCCTGGATTTTGGAGAAAATCCAGGTTTAGCTGCACAGACCACTTTGCAAGAAACCTCCGGGACGTGCGACGAGTCTCTGAGATGCAATTGGAAACTCTGCCCCCTGGTGGCTGATCATCAAACGACAACCAGATGGCAGTTCTTTGACCCAAGGAGGAGAAACAACGGTGCTTAAATTCAGGCCTGTCCTGTGCACCTGAAGGAGGTGAACAGGCCTTAAATTAGGACTTGTGGCACTGAGGAACAGCCAGACAACGATGCTTGGTCAGAATATGGAACGCTAACGCCTAACTGGCACGCCAAGCAAGGTACGTGCAGCCTGTTGCCAGGAGTCACGTGTGTTTTTTTTGTATCAAAGGGAAACTTTCCAAAACGTGGCACAGTCTCTTCCGTTGCTTTGGCAAATGCAGAACATTAAAAAAATCAGACTTAAAAGGCGAAAGCTTTATACGATCTGAAGAGAAAGCAGAGTCGATCTGGATTTACAGGTTTAGCATACGACTGGGCCAAGACTGAATTTTGAAAGCGACACACCAAGTGCAACCCTCAGTTAAACTCAAGCTGGATCAGCCCTGGTTAATATTTGGATGGGAGGCCACTAGGAAATCCCGGGGCTTAGGCTGGATTGAGAAGACCCCCCAGATCCCAGGGGCAAACTGCTTCTGAACTGTGGCCAAAAAAGATCAACGGAGGAGTCTATGAAGTCCCCGGGGATCAAGCCTGACTCGGGGAGGCTTAATTAAATGAACGCCCACTCCCTCTAGGGCCACGCGTGCCTGCATTTTCCCAACCGGGGCTGAATCTGGGAAGGGGGCAGCCGGGTGGGGTGGGGGCCTCAGGGTACAGAGATCCATCACGCGACCAGATCTGAGCCACCAAGTGAATCCTCCCCACGGGTCACTTGGAAAGGAGGAAGAGCAAGCCCCAAGTCCGAGCCCTGCCCCGCGTGAAAGCTGCAACTTCTTTGCACTGCAACGGGAAATCAGCCGTTGGGCTGAAAGCCTCTTCCTTGCCTGCAACTAAGAGTCTAATCCAGCCAGCCGGACCCGGGGGTCTTCGGCCAGCCCCGGCCTCAAGCTGAACGAAGCTTGGGTCTCCGGAGGGAAAAGCCTCACGCCAAACCATTGCGGGGGGGGGGTGCAGCATCGCAAATCAGCTATATTTCAGTTCTTCCGGAGGGGCCGTCCACGCTGTCCCTCTCAAAAGTGGGTGGCAGGTATTCTCTCCCAGGATCCGTATTTCCTTCCTTTTACTGAAGGTCTGGATGTAATTTGTATCGATATTTTAACTGTTGCGTGTGAAATTGATTAATCGCACAAGCGCTTATTTAGGACCGATCACTTCTTTTCAGGTCCAAAATGCTTCGTTAAGGAAATACCAGCTCCAGAGCACAAAGCCGTGTGCAACCTTTAGCCTGGTCCAGAAGTCTTCCTCGGAAAAGAAAGGCATGGAAAGGCAACTGGCATCAAACTGAAGGGCGCCTGCAGGAGGGGACCAAAAAAGCCAAGCAGCAACTGTGGTCAAGCCGTTGAAGCCTGTCCTTTTTACTACACAACGCACGTCACTTCTTTGAGCCCCTCCTGCAGACCCCTCGGTGAAATTGCGTAGCTAATTTATCTTCCAAGAATAAAACCCCAGTTTCTCATGGCATCGAGTCAACGTCCTCCAATGTGGCAACCCTTCCTCGGAAATAAAAATTCCAAGTCCCACAAAATACACAGGTAGTCCACCAGACTGGCCTTGAGCAAATTCCCAACATGCATTAGAGGTCTTCCAGTTTAAGCAAGGACGGGCGCTTGATGACCGCCCAGGTGACCGGAAAGAAAGGGAAGGAAAATGCCCCATTTTCCTGCCCTTCTGCCATCGCGCCTGCCTTCGGCTACAAGGGATCACGACCCAGCGCAGCTCCTCGCAAGATTGACCTAACCAGAGGCTTCTTTCCCATGCTGGCGATCGACTGCTTTCCACCCGCATCCTCGCCCTCTTCTAGGGCGAACCAGTCAGGGCTCCTTACAGCTTTATTAAGTTCCAGCTGTTTATAAACGAAGAGGCCTTCGAATCCCCCGTCTCTGTGCTGTGCCATTTTCCTCCGATTCTTAATTAATTTCCGTACGTGTGGAGGCGCATCTCAGATCAACGCATGCATGCCATTGTTCGTTGAATAAGCCACAAGGGGTTGTGTTGCCACAATGGCTGACACGTTGCGGTGACCGCAAAGCAGGCTAAGCCTAAACCAAAGCGCCACGTTCTCACGGGGGCTCAGTCATTCCCCTGAGAGGAGGCCTGACGTGGCTGGGAGGAGGGCAGGAGGAAGCGAAGGGTGGGTGCAAGGGCCGTCCTGCAGGGGTGTCGTCTGGGTGCGGTCCAAAAAGTCAGAGGGCGGTTGTGACATGCAGGACGCAAGAAAAAACGAGCGGAGCTTCGATCGCACCGTCTTGAGTTTTTTGGCCATGCCCTGCGATGCGCCTGGTCCTGCCCCGAAGGGGCTGATCAGCTCCAGGTCACCCAGTGCCTGAGCGAGGCTGCCCAGACACTGACAAGCATCCGCTTTGCGTTATGAGAGCGCGGTTGGCCCCTTTGCTCCCAGTGTGCATTGTCGTCATCGTCATCACCTACCAGCCTTGTGAGCGTTTCCTGGGGATGGGAGGGACCCCCCTCTGCCCCACTGAGATCTTAATCAAGGGCAAAGGGTTCCTGAAGCACATTTCCGTAATGGATCACAGCATCTTTGCAGCTGCGCCAGACTGTCTACACAGCCAGGGGAACCATATGCTGAAGTGGATTGGGGCATTTCAGGGCACAAAAGGGAGCAGGGGAAGAAACACGTTCTGTCCCAGAGAATAATGGCATTGAGGGAAAGCATGTCCCATCTCTTCTTCTCTCTGGCTAGGTTCACACAACCCACTAAACCTTCAGTCTGGGTTAACCAAACGCAACTTCTATGTTCACCCAACGTGCAATGCCCAAACCTCAGATGGCCGGGTTCCCACAACAGGCTGAATCACCAGCCGCCCACTAGCACTTCAGGTGAGCCCGGCCACAGAGAAGCTACCTGTTTACTTGCAGGGGAAGGGCTTGAACGAGCTGGGCAGGAGCCTTCAGACATGCAAGCCACCCCCCAAACCTGAAGTGTTTCGGGGGGAGTGGTCGCCTTGGGTCCCTGTTGCATCAACCCCCTTGAAGGAGTTTTGCTTTATGGCGCAAGCCTTGCAAAGGGGACCCGTCAGCGTCCTTTGCTTGCCTTCACGGCAGCAGGTACCTGTTCGCCCCGCGCAGGGGTGAATCACAGCTCGGAAGCCAGCGGACTCCCGTGGAGATGCTTTTGCCAGCCCACCACTGTGTTTTCTCTGACTCACCACTCCCTGCCCGCTTTCAGATTTACCCACACTTGCCATGACTCATGGATTCTTTGCTGCCAAGCCAGGAGACCTGATGGGGCTATTATTAACTGCAATATTCTTAGAAGTTTCACTTTCTCCCTCCTTGAAGGGAGAATCAGGTTCTGGAGAGAGAGAAAGGCCCATGGGGTCTCCTGAACCCTTGGCGATCTGGGCAAGGCCATGGGGGAGACAGAGGCAGGAGCAGCTGGATGCCTTGGCAGCCCAAGGGAAGAAGCCAGGCATAGCCCCGGAGGGCGCAGAGAAGCTGGGATTTCAAACAAACCAGGAGAGCAACAGCAGCAGTCAAAGGGAGCAGAAGGTTCTTCCCCTGCGGCAAAACCGGCTTCTGTTTTTCCGCCTCGCTCTCAGGAAGCTTGAGAATTCCTTAAGACTTCTCTGGCTGGCATTTTGATCTCATTTCACCCTTGATGACCAAGGAGGGTGTTGCTAACTTTTCCATTACTCATTTTGCAGTGACTGTGAGGTATCTCTAGTAGATCACATTTCCTCTGAGGAAGATGCAGTGAAGCAATCTTCCCTGGCTGAATGGTGATGGGGTGCGTGGGGGGAGCCAGCCAGAGAGGCTGCAGACCATGGCAGCCTGGGTGCATCATGGCAGAGAAGAGCCTCACCCACCCGTTCTAGCTACTTGGAGAGAAATTCCAAAGGCATTTTTTCCAATCCAGCTGAAGGGAACTGATAAGGAAAAAAATCAGGGCTCTTTTTCCTTTTTCTGCCCATCACTAAGAAAAGAAGATTCGGGGCAGGAGCGAATCCAGAGAGAACGTGAAATGGACTTTTCAGTGCCCTCTGCTTTTGCCTGTATGCAGCTTGTGGAACCTGTTGGCCTTGCAGGTGACGTTGGATTTCAGTGCCCATCATCCGTGACCTTTCATCCGTTCTGTCTGCTGTCGGCCCTGGCCAGGACTGACAGAGACAGAATTCAGCCACAGCTGAACGGCCCCAAGCCGGTTGTCCAGAAGTTAAGGAAGACCAGGACAACCGGCACGTTTGCCCAAGAACTTGCTGTGCACCAGGAGGAGCTCAGACTAGGTAGCTGTTCCCTGATTTTGGAAAGTAAGCGACTGCTGGCCTGGTTCAGCCGTGGATTGTGTTGACCATAGTGGCTGGGTTCACAGAACCACGAAGCCGGGGTCATTATTTCCCGGGCCAAGGAGCCACGTCTGGTCTCGGAATGGCATCTGGAAGGCCGGGGCATCCGTGGGGAGTGGATCAAAAAAGTCAAGATGTGATTGAAGCCACATCCGTGGTTTTTTACCCTCTGGGTATGCTCCAGAAGTAGCAGATGTGAGCCGAGACAAAATATGTTTGATTTCCTTTCACGTTACTGAACATTAGAACTAAATGACTCTCCAATCATGTAACTGCTGAGGCAGTGACAGCAACTGAATCCTGTCTGCGTCGGGGCCAGAGGGATTGTTTCTAGTCAATATAAACCCGGGGGGATGCCATGTTGCAAGACCCCCCCCCCTGTTCTTCCTCTTTTCCTCCAACGTCTGAGCATTTCAATTAAGGAAAGTTCTCACTGTGCAACTCTGAAATTAAG